CTCTAATAATGACTATGTTGGAGTTTGAAGTTAGTTAGTGACTGCATCACAAATGAAAGAAACAGAAATGATTTAGAATGTGCATGATTTATTTATTTATTTTAATTTAAAAACATTGAGTTTTCATTTTTACAAAGGAATAAAACCATACAACAACAAAACAAAACACAGACGAACAAATACACACTATAAATATATACACATACAGATATATACACACACAGTAATAATAATAATTGCAGTAAATAAATAAACAAAAAAGGCATTTTCTGTTCCTCATCTGACGGGAGCAGGTGTATTACATGATCTTGAATGCAGAGGTTATCATTATCCCTCCCCAAGTTCACTAAGCAAAAAAGATAAATCTTTGTCCCTAATATAATTTATTAATGGACCCAATATTGTTTGAAACATCTCCTTTCTGTTCCTGAGTGTATAGGTAATCTTTTCCAAAGGTAGACATAAAGACATTTCTTTGAACCACTGTCTAATACTTGGTCTCCCATTGCTTTTCCATGTTAATTCAATCAATCTTTTGACTTGTAATAGGCACATGTTTACAAAAATCTGTTGTACACGACTTATATTAAGTTTAGGTTCTATTATTATTTGGATTGATAAAATTCTCGGGTACTACCATTCCACCAACTTCTTCTCAGAATTCTCTCATTCTTGGACATTTCTATATAAATTCCCTTGTCTTCCCAACATCTGGTGCATGAATCTGGAATATTGGGGTTACATTTATTTAGTTTCTCAGGTGTAACATATATTCTCATTAACCAATTGCATTGTAGTAGTTTTAATACCATATTAGCAGTTTGAGATTGAGCATTCTTACATGCAGCATTCCATTCTTCTTTTGGAATTTCCTCTCTTAGATCACCCTCCCATGTTTTCAGTTTAGAGTCTGAGGATTCAAGAGAACTGTCACCCAACAGGTCTTAAATTCCTGAGATAATTCTTAATTAGATTTGCCTCCAGTGAGGATAAGGCTGGGATGATTATGGAATGATTCTGATGAGATCCAATAAAACTCTTCAGCTATAAATATTTATAGTTGTGTTCTTTCTAAGTATCCGAGGATATGTATGCTGGCAATGGAATCTTTTCAAAGCCAGATTCAATATCTTTTCATGCGGGCAAGTTTTCTGTAGAGTAATAGAACCTCATTGTTCTAAGTTGAATAGCCCAATAGTGCATGATTTATTTACACAATATTAAGATAAACACAATATCCATCATTAATTATTTAAAACATTACAATAATCATCAATATTGGGATATTGTGACAGCTCTGCCATATGTATTTTTGCATTATATCCAATGGTCTTGTGTGTCCTCAGATGATCCAGAGGGACCTGGTGGACTGTGAAGCCCACATCATAGCACTGAAGACTCTGGTCTCTTCCAGTCAGAGCAACAGGACTCAATTCGAGAGGCTGTATGCTGACTGGAATCATCTTCAAAAGGCAGTCAGGGTAAGATTCATTTCAATCATTGACAAATTATGATTCACAAAATAAGATTGTATAAAAGATTACAAATTGTGGCCCCTGATAATAAAGAATTACAATTATCAAGTATCGATATAATAAAGTAGTGGACAACTTTTTCTGCATCTTTTTAAGACAGGACATTTGTGATGTTATGTAAGTGAAAGAAGGCAGTCCTAGAAATGCTTTTTTAAAGGAGAATCAAAGGACAAACCAGGATCAAAGATTACTCACAAATTCCTGACCGTTTCACTGGAAGCAAGGGCAGTGCAATCTAGAATAGCTATGTCATTAGATAATGCATCTGAGAGGTGTTTAGAGCCAAGTATTAGAACATCTGTTTTATCTGAGTTTAATAGGAAAAAATTGCAGGTCATCCAGGTTTTTATGTCCTTGAAACAGTTGTTCTGGTTTTAATGATAAGTATGACTGGGTTTCGTCTGCATAGCAGTACAAATTGACAGTGTGTCCTGATAATGTTTCCTAGTGGAAGCATAAATAATGTGAATAAAATTTGGCCGAGCACAAAACCCTGAGGAATACAGTGATTAACTTTGGTGCACACAGATGACTCAACATTAGTTAGCACAAATTAGAATCGGTCTGAGAAATAGTATTTAAACCAGTTTAGGGCAGTTCCTTTAATGCCAATTAACTGCTCTAGTCTTTGTAATAAAATTTGATGATCAATAGTGTGACTTTTGGCAAGGCAGTCTCCATGCTGTGGTGAGCTCTTAACCCTGACTATAAGTCTTCATAGACATTATTTTTCTGGAGAAAGTCACACAGCTGATTAATTATAACTTTCTCAAGAATTTTAGACAGGAAGAGGAGGTTGGATATTGGTCTGTAGTTGGCTAAAACCTCTGGGTCCAGGATGGTTTTTTGACAAGGGGTTTGATTACAGCTAGCGGTCGTCCTCCAACCAGAAGGTCGGAAGTTCAATCCCCAGTCTTTCATCTGCATGCCAAAGTGTCCTTGGGCAAGATGCTGAACCCCAAATTGCCCCGCTTTGAGTGGTCATAAAGACTAGAAAAGCGCTATATAAATACAACCATTTACCATTTAGTACCGGTTTGGACCCCCTTTTGCCTTCAGAACTGCCATAATTCTTCATAGCATAGATTCAACAAGGTGTTGGAAACATTCCTCAGATATTTTGGTTTGAGATGATGTGAGCTTTGTGACATGGTGTATTATCCTGCTGGAAGTAGTCATCAGAAGATGGGTACACTGTGGTCACAAAGGGATGGACATGGTCAGCAACAATGCTCAGGTAGGCTCTGGCGTTTAAACGATGCTCAATTGGTACTAAGGGGCCCAAAGTGTGCCAAGAAAATATCCCTCACACCATTACACTATCACCACCAGCCTCAACCGTTGATACAAGGCAGGATTGATCTATGCTTTCATATTGTTTACACCAAATTCCGACCCTATCATTTTAATGTCGAAGCTGAAATCGAGACTCATCAGACCACGCAACGTTTTTCCAATCTTCTACTATCCAATTTTGGTGAGCCTGTGTGAATTGTAGCCTCAGTTTCCTGTTCTTAGCTGACAGGAGTAGCACCCGGTGTGGTCACCTGATGCTGAAGCCCATCTGCTTCAAGGTTCGACATGTTGTGTGTTCAGAGATGGTATTCTGCATACCTTGGTTGTAATGGGTGGTCATTTGAGTGACTGTTGCCTTTCTATCATCTGGAACCCCTCATCCATTCTCCTCTAACCTCTGACATCAACAAGGCATTTTCGTCCACACAACTGCCGCTTACTGGATATTTTCTCTTTTTCTGACCATTCTCTGGAAACCCTAGAGATGGTTGTGTGTGAAAATCCCAGTATATCAGCAGTTTTTGAAATACTCAGGCCAGCCCGTCTGGCACCAACAACCATGCCACATTTAAAGTCACTTAAATCCCCTTTCTTACCCATTCTGATGCACGGTTTGAACTTTAGCAAGTCGTCTTCATCATGTCTAGATACCTAAATGCATTGAGTTGCTGCCATGTGATTGGCTGATTAGCTATTTGTGTTCACAAGCAATTGAACAGGTGTGCTTAATAAAGTGGCCGCTGAGTGTATATCTTGATGACAACAATAGATTGATTTTATTCATTAAAGTACTAATTATTAGAGGTAGAATTTCTTTAAGTAACTTTGTATTCATGGGGCCTAAAATACAAATTGTGGGTTTAGACAATGAGATAACTGAGGTCAGCTAATCAAGGGTGATTGGAGAGAATCTGTCTAAATAATTGTAGCACGCTCGTGTCACCGCGGGTTCCTCGTTATAAACGATGTCTGACAGGGTTCAATTAAGTTGCTTTATTTTTTAATTCACACACACATCTACATCCGCAGATCTCAGTTCGTGTCTCTTTTCCTCCAGTGCCTCGCCCTTTGTCCCAGCACGCTACTGCTAATAAGAGGGGGGGGGAGAGTCATTAGCAAACACAGTACACCTGTACACAATCAGACTCTCTCCCTGGCACCAATCCCTGAGCCACCTGCCCACTCTCTCCCTCTTGCAACCGACACTGACCATCCCCCACTACTACAATAATTAATAGGATTATTTGCTGTTCCTGAGATTTCTGAGCTTGATAATGTAATGGCATCAACTGAGGGCATGAGATGGTAGATTTTATTTCACATAGTGGGAATTTTATCGTTAAAGAAGTTAATAAAGACATTGCTAATCAGGGATGGGGGAATACTGGATACACTGGAGCTGTGATCTGTCGGTCTGGCTACAGTGCTGAAGAGAAACCTGGGGTTGTTTTTTTTTCTATTAATATGGAGTAGTAGGCAGATCTTGCTTTGTGGAGGGCCTTCTTGTATGCTCTAACACTATCTTACTAGGCCAGGGGATTTTCAACACCGTTGTTGTAGCGCCACTTCCTTCCTAGTGTTTTTGAAGCTTATTTGAATTCATTTGTGTTGGAATTATACCAGGGAGCTAATTTTCTGTTTTACTCACTTCTTTCTAAGGGCGCTATAGAGTCAATGTTAATGGTAGAAAGTCTGCAGTGCTATCGCCAAGATGGTCAATCTCAGTGGAACTAGGGTTTTTAAAGAATTTGTTGATTATATCGACGGATGATGAGTTAAACGTAATCAGAATTATTTCCTTAAATTTAGCTCCAGCACTATCAGGTAGAAATCTAGTAAATTAGTTTTTGGTTAATGGCATGTAGTCTGATAATAAGAAAATCAAATTAAATTATTGTCTGATAGAAAAGGATTATGTGGAACTACTATTAGATGTTACATTTTGACACCATATGATATTACAAGGTAAGGGTGTGTGGTTACAATAATGAGTGGGTTAGTGTACACACTGAAACCAATTGAGTCTAATATTGAAATTAATGCAACACTAAGGCTATCATTATCGTTGTTAACACTTAATATTGAAATCACCATCAATAATTAATTTATCTGTTTTTAGAAGTAGGCTTGATTAAAAACTCTGGGAATTCCATTACAATTTCAGAATAAGCACTAGGAGCAGGGTAAACTACTGCAAATACGATTGGCTGTTGGGTTTTCCTGGGTGGGTCTGGCAGATTAAAAACAAGTTTATTATTACATATCATTTAGCTGACACTTTATCCAAAGCAATTTACAATAGGTGTAGTCAACCATGAGGGTTAAAACCCAGAACAGCAAGAATCATGTTAGTACAATTTCTTAAAAAAGCCAAACCACAAGTGCTACATGTAAGTGCCAGATATAAGTGCAACTAAACAATGACTCCTCCATGCACATGCAAGGTAGTCATGGAGTTCCTCAAGGTTCTGTCCTTGTTCGTCAAGGTCGATTCTCTTCACCTTATATATGCTCCCCTTAGGCAACATCATCAGAAAGCACCACATACTCTTACATTGTTACGGCGACGACACCCAGCTGTACATTTCTATGAAGCCTGATGAATCTAATCAGGAATATCTCAAGAACATCAAGGCCTGGATGACCCAAAACTTCTTACCTCTAAATTCAGACAAAACTGAAGTCGTTGTAATTGGCCCTAAACATCTCAGAGAAACACTGTCTGACCAGATAGTCACCTTGGATGGTGTCAGTTTGGCCTCCAGCTCCACTGTGAGGAACATGGAGTTATGTTTGACCAGAACATGTCATTTGACCCACATATAAAACAAGTCTCTAGGACAGCTTTCTTACACCTGTGCAATATTGTAAAAACTAGAAACATCCTGTCTCAGAAGGATGCTGAGAAACTAGTCCACACATTTGTTACCTCTAGACCAGATTACTGTAATTCTTTATTATCAGGATGTTCCAGGAAATCTGTAAAATGTCTCCAGTTTGTCCAAAATGCTGTGGCACCAATGCCGACAGGAACTAGAAGGAGAGATCATATTACTCCTGTCTTAGCTTCTCTGCAATGGCTCTCTGTAAAATTCAGAATAGAATTCGAGATCCTGCTCATCACATATAAAGCCACCAACAATCAAGCCCCTTCATATATCAAAGAGCTCATAACACCGTATTATCCAAATAGATCCCTTTGTTCACAAAACATAGGCTCTCTTGTGGTTCCAAGAGTCAGTAAGAGTAGAACAGGAGCTAGAGCATTCAGCTACAAGGCTGAACCTGTGGAACCAGCTCCCACTCTGGGTTCTGGAGACAGACACCATCTCTGCATTTAAACTTAAACTTAAACGTTCCTTTTTGATAAAGCCTATAGTAAGTTCTGGATCAGGTGAGTCCTGAACCATCCCTTTATTTATTTTAATACATGTCAATAAATATGTTACTTTTTTCTCCCATAGTCCCTCTCTCTTTCTCTTATTGCAGATATCTCTGTCTCCAGAACTTCAGGACAACAACACCTGTTATTATTATTCATAATAATACATTAATAATCAATAACTCTTTACACTGTTATTGTTTATATTTTAACTAGTCAGAGCTGATACCTGATGCACAAGTGTTACCCTATTGCCACTTGCGTTTAGGCGGTGGAATTGCAGACTCACACACAACCATGAACACATAGCTAACAAATTGCTCACTCCATCAGCCCCTTCATTGTAGTGGACACTTCTTACATCTTTCCATCAACTGAAAAACAAGCAAAGTGTACAAGCTAATTCTATTTTACTTTTTCTTGACAACATCCTTTATTACAGTAGAAGTGTAATATATTTAACCTAATCCATTACTACTCCTGTCATTGTAGACCTAATATTTCAAAACCAGATTATTTTATGCACATATGTTGTTCTGTTTTTCATCATTATTTTTGATTGATACATTAATTGTCAATGTTGAGTGTGAGATTCCAGACAAAATCATTACCTGGAACAATAGTGACTGCTCATTCTTTGGTCTATATTGGCAAAAATTCTGACAGAAAAAAATGCTCTTCACCTACCAGTTTGGGCGAATAACCATAAATACGTGCAACTATGATAAGGTGCAAAAAATGCTAAACCTGCCTTAGTACCTTAGTCCCCTCTTTTTACTTCATTGTCACTGCAGGGTGTCTTCTTTCTTTACAACAAGTACTTTCCTTTTATTTTACTTGAAAGATTGGGGGTAAATAAGTGAAAGATTAAAAGATTTTGTTTCCCTGGCCATAAGTGAGGATTAGTGAGTCATCTTGTTGAAGGATATCATTCACTTTACTGATGAAGCCATAACAGATTCCTCAAATGAGGAGAAAGTCACTTTTAGTGTTTTTCTTGTCTCCCGCTTACCATCCACAAGTTCAGCAATGAAGATATTTATAAATATGGATAGGACAACATTGTTGTGTCACTTACATTTTACTTATGGAGGGTTTTGAATGCAGTAATTCAAGTTTTACTTAATTCAATCAGGGTGAAATGCTCAAGTTGCTTTTGTGAATAAATGTTAGTCTATTTATTACTAGCATAACAAGAGAGCAGTTCAAATAGCCAAAAGCAGAAGGGAAATAATATAACATACTCTTACATTGGTGTGATGCTCCTAATTATTTTCTCTTACCTACTTACCATTTTTGTTTGCAGACAAAGGTGCATGAGAGTGAGGAGAGCATCACAGTTCATGAGAGCTTCCATGACAGCTTGCTGAACATAGAGAAGTGGCTGATGATAATGAAGCAAAAGTTGAAGTCATTTCACAGCTCCGCAGGAGAATGGAGCATAGAGGGCCGCCAACATGAAGCAGAGGTTTGTTTGTGTGTTTTTCTTACACTTCTGTGCTCACAATCAACTGTTTTTAGAGGAACTTATAGCAAGTCCTTGACACAGTCAGTCTCCCATCCTCCCACCTCTCAGTCAGTCTCCCATCCTCCCACTTCTCAATCAGTCTCCCATCCTTCCACCTCTCAGTACTTTTCCATGGACTCCGCTTCTGCTTCATCTGCCAGCCAAGCCACACCCTTTCACCAATCCAACACAGCTGCTCCTCATCACCTGCAATCAGCCCAGTATATATTCACCAGCTCCACTCTCAGTCAGTTGCCAGATTGTTCTACGCCTTCATGCAAGACTTTCCAGCACTCATCTCCGGACTGATTCTTTGTTGCCAACACTGCCTGTCTCTGACTAACCTGCCTCGTCTGAAACCTTTTAAT